ATTATATAATATTTTTTAATATAAATCACGAGTGAAAAATATACCACATGAATGTTTGTATTCATCATTTTGTATAATTTAAATATAAGTTACAAGTGTATATTTTTGTATCAATTAAATATTTTATTTAATAAATATTTAAATGTCCGTATTTACCAAACATTTTTATAATACATGTGTGTACTTTTAAATAATTTTATTTACTAATCATTATTTTTATATAATATATGCTCATTATTTTTATTACTTATGTTTTACAAACGTATTAAAATGTCAGTGCGTGCAAAATGTGCCGCGCTATTTGCAGCACATAGAAGTCCCAGTTGCGTCCTCCTTGTACTACATTAAGGACTGTTACAGTGTTTCTCATTGCAAACGTGAAATGGTGGAGTTGTTTGGACGGCTAGCTATACAACAGTTGGTCTTGAGTTCGAGACATGAAGGCGTCTGATCAGTTTTTATTTTCACGTATTGACAGGCGGGGCCCATGTGTCATAGTGTCAAAATGAAATGGCAGCTGCCACGTTGTTAGGGGCTTTTTGTGAGAAAGAATTTTTTTTGAGGGTGTTTTTGCAAAAAAAGGCCACAAACCTCCTCTACGCCTTCCAGTCACTGACAGTGGGCCCTATGCCTGCTGGCGCGCCAAGTTAGCATCGATTTCGTACCCAAGTGTGATTAGCACCGTATTTGCACGTCCGAGCCAAGTTGTTGCACCAGTTCCATGTATGCCGCAAGTTCTAGCACCAAAATGACCGTTGCGCCAAGTTTAAGCACCACCGGTGTAATTGACTCGTCATAAAATCCCCCTCATCCCTCGTGCTCACCTGCCGTCGTCGGGCGAAGCACGCTGCGAGGTATGCGGCAGGGGAGCTTCCCCATAGCCCTCTTCTTGGCTGCTATGTGGGCCATCCTGCCTTGGTCACCAATTTCAGTCGTCTGCAAGAAGTGAGATGCTTTTGTATAGGACCGCAGTAGCTGGCGAACGTTTGCTTGAAGGTTTGACATTTGTGAACGTTCTAGATGGCAAATTTAGTTATACGAGGTTGACAGTTTCTTCATAAACACACGACAACTTCTAGGAGATTTTGCAGCAAAAATGGGCAGGATTTACCATCTCTTATCAAGTCAACTTGCAAAAAATGTTAATTTGCCACCCCTGTCTGAGCGACATTCGTCAGATAACATTTCCGTTTGTATATTCCTTACAACATGCATGCTTACCATGGGAGTTCATTTTTACATGTACAATAATTTGAGGACGAGAAATGCTATCCTGTTAAGTGTTAATTTTTTCTGGGGATGTGTTAGGTGGTACTAACTAGCATCATTAATCTGGTGAATTCATCTCAAGTGCGGCGTGGACTTGCTTGAGTTTTTGCTTCGGTACACCCCTTCATAAAAAGTTTACCGATTTCGATGCCGATCAAATGTGGAGATTAGAAATTACCCTTTCGATCAAAAAGATTACTTTATTCTGATATTTTGTCTGATCCATCGAGAGAATAGGGATTTTTCTTCCTTTCGGCTTTCGGGCATATGTCATCCGTTAGAAGTTACCGGTAGGTTTACCATTATTGGAGCGAGCTACTACTAGCCACTACTGACCTCAAGTCCTCAACTATAATGCAAGAAAAAAAAACACTTCCATGCATGCATGAACGCGATTACGCACTACGCACCGCGGGGCGCTGCGGGCCGGCAAGGAGCTGTTCGACACGGCTGGTATGCCAAGGTAAGCGAAAAGCAACCAGCAACGTGGCGTTCCTGTGGATTCTGCATACACCACAGTTCAACTTCGCCGTATCAACAGACGAGGCCAGCACGGTGCGGTGTGATGCACCTTTGCTGCGGCTACATGCTCGTGGTCCTGCTGGACGGCCGGCCGGTCCGGCGGTGAAGACAGCCATGACGAGGGACTGGCTCTCTCTGGGCAAGCGTGATGCATGCATGGATGGCCACAGAGCACCGTAAATGCCCACCATAAATACCATAATGTGCCGCCCTGGTTTAGGTCTCTAGACAGGGGATTTGCATAGGCTGGGACAGGGAGTGAACAGGAATATTCTGTTCCGATCATTTAATCTCGACGTACAGTAGCTTACTGAAAAAAATAACGCGGAAAATTAGGCGCGCAAAAGATATGTGTAGACACACACATGTGGAAGTTGCTAGAAGTATTCCAATTTGGTAGTCGCCGAGCCGAGTAAGACACACTTTTGCAATGTGAAAATAAATTAAATCAGCGTTGACAACTTTAATCTTGAAAATCTATTAAAAGTCATAAAATAATACTTCCTCCGTTCTAAAATACCTGGTGTGGTTTCAGTTTAAATTTGAACTAAAACCAAACAAAAGGAGTATGACATAAATAATATTGGTATATAACACACCATACAATTTGAGATTCGGAATCCATAACACCGTCAAATCATTTGAGAATTCTGCCTAAGGTAAGTTTTGGTAAATTATCGACATTGATAACAAATTTGCAAAGAAAAAACAGTTATGTCAATATTGAGACTTACTGTTCAAAAAACAACATTTACTGTTCAAAATTATCGACATTGATAACAGATTTTTTATCCGGTTTTCTTTATAAACTGGATCAACATTTTGTTCGAATGAAATCTAATTCAGGCGAGGATCCCCCTCCCCCCTCACTTATTGTTCAAAAAACAACATTTAGACTTGATTTCAATTGTGACATCATAAATTCATGGTATGATATATGCTACTTATTTTACAGATCTTTTGAACTATATAAAAGTGTCAACGAAAGCGAGGAACAAACCAAGTGCACTAGGTGAGAATAGCTCAGATGGTTAAGTTCCTTGTGGTGAAACAAGTCCACCAGGGTTGAAGTCCTTACTTGGCACTGGTGCTCACATTTTCCTGGATTTATGTCAGGCTTTCCAGCACTGTTCACTCAGTGTGAGGAGACGTTTCCATCGGCTACGAGGCTTTGTGATACTTCCTCAATCTCAAAATGTTGTATCGGCTCAATATTTTAAAGGTGCTAATAAAGATAGGGTGTGAGTGTGTGCGTTCGTCTATAGGAGTGAGTGTATATGCTTGCATATGTGGGAATCTTTATGTTTGCAAATGAGCATTTGCGATTGTACTGTGTTAGAAAAATAACCCGAAGCCATATTAGTTAAGTTACCATTGACGGTGTTTTGGCTAGTGATGCCTCAAAGTTTAATAGAAATCTAGATATACAGTGTGGGGTTCTTTGGTTCAAAATATTTTCATAGGATTTATAGGACTGTAATGCTTAGGTATGTCTCTTATGTTGGTCGCTTTATTAGTTGAGCTGAATCCTATATACTCCATCTTCACTTTTATAGCCTTGAAGACATTTCATAGAAGGTGCAAAGTAACTCATTTTCAGTTGTCTGAAACAACTTATAAAAATGAACGGAGGGAGTAACTTTTTTCCTAAGGAATTGTTTACATTACATTTCATAGGAAATTTAGCATCCATGTAAATTTCTTTTTTTTTAAGAGTGGGCAGGATTAACCACGACCTCTGCATCAAATGATGCTCACAACTATATTAAATTATTCAACATAGAATGATAAAATAAATACGAGGATCAATTCAAAGCCATCTTTTCGATGAACTATGTCGCTACACCTATAAGCTTGATGGTGTGCCCTGACCGCACCAACACACGCCATCTAATCCGGTGGCCTCACGAAGTCGTCTCCGCTGCGAGCCGAGATCATCAACCGGCCTAGCAGACGCAAAGCGCACACTGCATGGGCATGCTCCAAGATTAATTGTTTTTAACTTTGATGAAATAAGAGAAACTCAAACTCCTTCTTATAAGAATGAGCGTGATATTCCATTTCCACGCTTCTCCTATTACTCTAAGTGATAAGAAATGCCACTCAGGAAAGAAAACTACTGCAAAATCGATCATTTCATCTGGGTACTAGAGATTAGATAAAGAAAAGGTTTCCCGATGATAAAGGAAAGGTCATGTCGAAGAAGGGTGAAGTGGTGAACAGAGCACCGATGGTTCAGAACAGCAGTTGGAGGCTGGGCGGGGGCATTGTGTCCTCGGAATGCCTATCTGATAAGACATGCATGAAACCCGGAGGGCAACAACATTCCGCGTGAAAACTGGAGCTCCGTTCGATCCAAAATTTGGGCACTCTTCAAGAAGGGAAATCCACTACTCGTTTCTCCGGGCCGCATGTTCTCCGGCCCTAGCGACGATAGACCTAGCTAGCCAGACTGGAGCTGTAGGTCCGAGTCATTTTCTCTACTACCATGCCAGTTCTCTTCTTGACCTATCTATGCCAAGAAAAGACACGAGGTAGACTAGATAGTGTTTGTATGTAGCAGACACACGGCTGCGACAGTGTTTGTATGTATGGCATGGGCGATCGAGTCGAGTTGAAACAAACATGGTAGGCACGCGCGAAGAAACCAGTTCACAACGACTACTAGTACTATTATCCAACTGCTCGAATCAATGCGGGTACCAGATTCACGGGCCCACGCCAACTGCTCCTCATGCTCATGCAGCAGCCGGACGAGCGTGCGGGCTCCGGGCTTGTGCGTGTTCGTGTATCTGTTGCCATGTTTCTGAATCTCTGGTGACAAACTCGTTTGCACATCAAAATTGATCCAAAGCGATATCAGGTTGACAGATAGTAACAGACTACTGTATATCAACGCGTTTGTTAAGCACAAGACAAGATGTTGCACTCAATACATTACACAAAAGAAGTAGAAACTCGGAATGTTACTAATATACCTAGATATCTTTACCAACATCACACAAGAGAGTAGAAACTCGAAATGTTTACTAGCAGTCAGCTAGTCTTACTGGAGTACTAACCATTTTGCCACAAGCCAAAACATACGCACAAAACACTCGGAGAGAGTACTAGGAGTAGTAGTGTATCCAAGAGAAAGGGCAAATAGACACTGCTGATGAACACGAACGCAGGACGCCGCATCCCATCGGCGCCACAGTTTTCGGGGTTCAGGAGGCGACGCATGAGTTGAGGCCCAGGCATCCCATCCACATGCTCCACTTCTGCATCCAAACAAAGAGCGGTCAGCTCCAACAATCACGACAAAAAATTAAAGAAACCAATTCCGGCAGTAGCTAGACATTCTTTTCCGGGGGCCGTACGTACCTTCCTTGGCCGCCGGTGGGAGGCGGGCTCCGGCGGTGGCGCCTTGTAGAGGTCCTCGTCGACATGCCGCACCTGGTACCTGCTGGCGCCGCTCTTGGCCGTGACAGCAGCGTCCGTGGACGCCCTGGCGCGCTCCCGGGACACGTCGCCCTCCGGCCGCCGCCGCCTCGCTTGCTTCTTCTTGGGCGTGGGATTGCGTGGAGGAGGCGAGTACCTGAACCACACGTCGCTGCAGGCCTCCGGCTCCGGCGTGGCGTACCACGCGGCCGCCGCTGTCGCCTCCGGCTCGTCGTGGTGGTAGTTGTAGTTCCACTCCCCGAACGCCGGCACGCGGCGCCTCCTCGCCTTCTGCGACAGAGCGAGAGATAAGAAACCACAAGGGTAGTTCATGGTGATCACTGATCAGACCACCAGCCCCATTCTTGGCGAAGTTTGTGCTGGTATGGATGGCTTGCCTGGTGGCTCGGCCGGCACTTACCTCCATCTGGTTCAGCACGGCACAGACAGGGGAGACAGAACGAGCTAGAGAAGAAGGGAAGCTGGGGCCGGTGAGTGAGTGAGTGGGGCTACGTGGCTAGCTAAGCAGAACGGAATGAAAGCTCCTCCCATGGCTGGACGCGCGTGAATTTATAGCGAGAGCCGGAGGAGTAGCTCACAGCACTAGCCACGTCCCGAGCTTGTCAGAACGGCCCGGTGCGCGCTCCAGTGTGTAGGGTTGAAGTGAAGAACCGGCCCGGGACCGGCGATGTTGACAAAGAGCGCGCGCGAGAGAGAGGGGGGACGGCCGGTATGGAAGGCCGACCCTTGTCAGTACGCTCCCTCACTGTGGCCTGCAGCGAGCTTAGCCAGCCGGGGCGTGGCCCCTCGTTTGACGCATGCATCGGGCACCGTTTTCTTTTCTGGCTGCGCGTCGCGCCGCGTTCGCCGGTGGCCTGCAGCCGTCCTGTCGCGCCCGTGTGTTATTTCCGCACCATCATTACTGGCTGATTAGAAAATCTGACTGAGCAAGAAGCTGGTTTCTACCACAAGATGGTTTCTACCGACACGTTGACAAGATGGTTTCTACCCCAAGTCTATTTCTATCGACAACAAGACAGCACGAAGCATCAACGATCATAACGTTAGGTCCTCTATAAACGAGGGTAAGTTTACTCTCAAAATGTACATGGAGTGAGAGTAGTATTGTACGATTTTTGCTCGCTTAAATTGGTGTCCTCATTGCAAGCAAGTGCAGGAATTGTGGATCATCTTGTATTCTAGTGCAGGTTCACACTCAGGGTCTGGGGGCACGATCAAGGCTTGGCTACAACTGAAACAGCTTGACACTTCCACATGGCTACAACCACGGGTGTGTTTATTACAGTGATGGAGCTAGAAAAACTGAATGGGCAGGGCCAAGAGCTGCTAAACAAGCTTGGGGAGGGCCAACCCAATGGAATACAAAGCTAATGCATCGTTTTAGCAGAAATACTCAGTGTTCTAGTGAAAATATTTTCATGTTGGACTGGGCCCTGGCCGTGGGTGCCACCCCCGTCTCCGCCACTGGTTTGGTAGCATTCCCAAATTAGCTTGTTCTCCTCTGATATATGTTGAGTGTAGACATGTTGAGTACATGCATTTGTTGTTGTTTAGTAGTGGTGTATGTGCTGACACATGTTAAGCTGAGACATTGTTTGGCAGTTTGCATCCGTTTAGACATGTCGGTCGGCACTGTAGCAACCGGTATCTTTTAAATAAGTGAACGAGATTTCAAAAACGTGAAAAAAAAATTGAAACATATAAAAAACATTTTTTGAAAACTAAAACATTTTTGAAATTATGAAGTGTTTCTGAAAAATTAAACAAAATTTTGAAAGTTATCTTTTTAGAATATAAATGAAAATTGAAAATCTGAACATTTTTCGAAAACATTTTTTAAAAGAAATGCGAACATTTTTTTGAATAATTTTTTCAATTTCTGACACTTTTTAAAAAATTAACCAAAATTTGTAAATCTAGACATCTTCTGAATTTAACAATTTTTGATAATTTGAACAAATTAGGAAAAGCTGGAAAGTTTTTGGTATTTCGAACATTTTCTTAAAATTAAGTTATTTTAGAAATTCTAAACATTTTTTGAAACTCGTTGCTGCTCGCTTCGCTCATGCATGCTAACCAGCGAACGCCTGTTGGGGTGTTCTCTCTTCCTGCATGCTAAGAAGGTATTTGGGTTGAGCTCGTGCATGCTGAGGAGCCCCGTGCAGGCGACCAAACACCCAAAAATGGGTCAAGAAGGGAACTTTTGAGCTCATGCACCCTCCATGTACTCTACCAAACACACCCTATGATCCATGAAGGAATGGTGGATTGCCTTCCCCGACATTATTGTTCCTCACAGTAGGGCAATGGACTCGCTTGCAATGCTAACCTCATGGGCCATTTCGAACGAGCGGAATGCTCGCGCCGCCCACCACAAATGGACGCCATCAATGGTCATACTCCAGAATATCAAGAAAGACGCGACTCTAGGTGGCCACCGGTGCAAAAGAGTTGGGTTCAATCATGCCGGGAGAGTAATTGCTTTTTGTATCTTGGGGTGTTGTATCTTCAACAAACTCTATTCTCCTCTTAATTAGTATATGAGTCAAGTCTTTCGCTTCCGCTTCAAAGAAAAAATGGTGCCCAAAATAATTCACTTTTGGGCAGAAGAGAGAAGTTTTGGGACACCGTGACCTTTTCTTTAATAAGGTTTGTCTAGGACACATTAGATGTGACATAGTTATGTCACATCTAACCTCATGTTCACTATGTTTGTGATTTTTTTTGTCTCAGTTTTTTCCTTTTATTCCTTATTACTGTGTTATTTGTGGAAGATTAGATGTGACATTTTTAAAAAATATCTAGATGTGAATTAGTCAAACTGTTTTTAATATGCCCAAAAACTAATCCAATGTTACGAGGTCGAAAAGAGAATCTGATGGTTGTCGGGACACCGAGCTCAATTCCGGCCGGCGTAGCTCACTGGGATCAAGGCCCTCGCTGGGCCGCCTAGGTATGGAAGGACAAGGGTCCGGACGGGAGCCAGGGGTGCGACCAACTCTCCAGCGGCGCTGCGCAGACCGAGCACCGAACGGCGTCGTGGCTTGTGTTGGCCGCGCCGACCGACTGGGGCTCTCCCGGCCGCTAATTGTCCTCAACGACCAATGGTGGTGCGGAGGCGACCATTTTGGCCAACGGATGTGCCGGGGGACGACTGGAATCAGGCTTGACGTTCCGAGCTTCGGGAAGGGCATGAACCAACCAGAACTGGCGTGGGGTGGAGACATTTAGCGGCGTGGAAGTTTCACCGCGGCAGTTGGGTTCCCACCAAGGTGTTTTTCCTTTTTAGTCAGCGACTAGAGGTGATGCATATTTGCAGCACTTGTAGCAAAATTTGAGGCGTAATCTAATTTTTTGGCACCGTATAGAGATAGATCATCTGCTGGAGCAGTTTTCTGTGTCACAAAGTGCCCCAAATATAGTTTTTGAGTATGACCGTTGTTTTACATCATCTATTGAAGATGCTCTTATTTCAACCATGCTCTTTTTGACTAACAAGGACATACTACTACTCTTTCCGATTAACAAGGACACGCCCCAAGCTGTTTGACGTGTGACCAACCAAAGGAGACGTGGGCACATCTCCTCTGAGGTTGCTCCTTCTCGCACAAGGTTTGGCACGAGGTAACGATTGCTTGCTATCCTTAGGGGGAGGGCTTGACTTTTTACACTGGTGGCTAGAAAATGGCCTCTTGGTTTCAACCCCACCAACATGAATGGTATATTCACTATCATCCTTATCACCGCCTGAGCATTGGAGAAATCGTAACAAGATCATCATAAACAACATCGACTCAACTAGATGGGCTATCTGATGAGGTCACCTATTACAGGTAGGGTCAAAACCCATCATAAGGGGCCCATCTGGGGCCCGACACCATCGTTGGTAGGTCCCTGGACCATATTAGCATTCGGATGCGCATATCAGGAGGTCACCTATTACAGTAGGGTCAAAGACCCATCATATGGGGCCAATCTGGGCTCGACACCATCATTGGTAGGTCCCTGGACCATATTAGCATTCGAATGTGCATGTCAGGAGGTCACCTATTACAGGTAGGGTAAAAAACCCATCATATGGTCCCATCTAGGGCCCGACACCATCGTTGGTAGGTCCCTGGATCATATTAGCATTCAGATGTGCATATCAGGATGTCCACTTGGACACCTCGACAGCACTTGGCGACCACTCTTCAATCGACACGACAACCACCACTCGGACAAGGGAGGTGTAAGGACGGCGTGGGAGCTGCAGCGGTTGAGGAATCCTAAGTCACCCTTAAAGTAGAGTCATGGCTACCATTATTAACTGTAACTGATGTAGTTATGACACTTTATACCGGTAACTACCATAGTAATGGGCACTAAATGCCCTAGCGACATGGAGGCGTTGGAGCTGTGATGCACTCTATATAAGCCGCACTGCTCCTCCTAAGCTAGGGTTAGGCACTCTCTGTGATCATATCCCTCAAGAAAACCAGGCCTTAGGACACGAGACGTAGGGCTATTACCTCCGCTGAGAGGGGCCTGAACTCGCTAAACACCGAGTGTTACACCCGCACCGTAACTAGGCTCTACCCCTCTTTCGTACACCTAGTACTCATTGTCATGATCATAACCCCGACACTTGGCGCCCACCGTAGGGCTAGGCGTCCAGTAAAGTTTCATGGCGTAGGTGGATTTCTCATCACCATGTTGGTTGGCGGCGAAATCTGTTTCAGGACGCCTAGCTTCATCGCCGATGACTTAGCGTGGCTTCGCGGGGCCACGTTGGACGTGGAGACGCTGCCCGTCCATGGCGCGATTCATTTTTGCGCTTCTTCGTACGGAGTCCTTCTCCGACAGCCCTCGGCCCCGTATCGAGTGGCTACTCACCTTCCGACCGCACGTCGTCGCAAGCGTTGCGGACGCTCGCGGCTGCAACGCTGGATCAAGCACGCTGTGGCCCTTTAGGTCGCGACAGAGCGGGTGGTGGCTCTCGAGTCTGACGAGCCCGCCCTTGACCTCTGCGATGATTTTCTCGGCGATTCCTCTGAGGAGTCCGAGTGCGAGAGTGTCGAGTCAACCGCTGAAGTTCTCATGGAGGACAACTCCGAGCATCGTACACCCCGGGGTTCACGGATCCTCGGGATGGTC